ATTAAGCAGCAACTTGCCTACAATGACTCAAGACAGCTGGCTGCAAGCCTTTATTAGGTTTGTGAAGCTGCTTTTTCAGTGAAATTCCAGCTTGTCACAGTGACATGTCCTGTTGGTGCAATGATTAATCACAGTGTAGCTGCCAGCACATGTTGTATCCTAGGTGCCTGTATAAAATAGGTCAGTTATTTTAAAGGCATGATTCTTTTATCAGTGCTGCTTAGGATATTTCTAAATGCAAGTTTCATCAAAGCATTATTGTTTAGATGGAAATGGGTGTTTGTTGTAACATTTTCCACTTGAAGGAGTGGTGCCAGATAAGAAGATTTAACCTCCAACATCATGTGGGCATTTGCTTTTGATGCTTTTGCCTTTCTTGCTTTGTATTTTGGGACTGCTACGTTCTCATCTTCTAATAGGGGATGCTTTCAGAGTCTTCATATTCTCAAGTGTGTTTGAATAAGCATCCTGTTTAATGTATTTTATGGGAAAGAATTCATTCAATTCTGGGTTTCTAGGACACTTGGCAGTTTCACTCTGGGCTTTTATCTTTTCTAATGCAAGCAGGACAAAATCTTGGATGCTCTGATAATTTGGAAGCACTTGGAACCCAGTTCTCTTTAAGAGAATTTGCTTACTTGGGATTTAGTTGATAGTGTTGATATGTCAACTAGATTTGGCTCCGACAGGTGATTGAACAGCTAACTATTACATCCATCTTTGCTCATCTCTAACATATGTCAGTCAGTGAATCTGGGGTTTCTTAAAGCCATATTTAGTATATGTTATTAAAGAGGATTAATTTTTGAGCTAGTTATGTTTTCTCTATTTTTAGTTAGGCACTGGAGGTAGTGACCTAAAATTATGTGCCTAGATGAATTGATTATCTTTAGCAGTGTATGTACTTGGGACTAGGAACGGAGCTTTGCTTTTGATTTAAAGCTTTCAGTTCTCACAGCTGTCAATTAAACTAATGCATCATTTGAAATCTTAGTGCAATTGGGAATGGGCCACCCTTTCATTTGCCTGTGTTCAAACCCATTCCTATTTCTCACTTTCTCTTGTATTTTTTATTGAATTTTTTTACATGAATAAAAGAAACATAAAAAATATAAAACAGAGAGTAAGAAAAAAGATGAAATGCAGATGAAATGAATGCAGGAAAGAAAAAAAAACAAGAAATTAGAAAAAAGGAGTGACTTCTGATCTTTACAGCAGTTACAAACAAGCTTATTTTCTTTCCTCCCCCTTTAAAATTTCATACATATTTCCCCTCTTCCTATGTTCAACCTTTTTTAATTAACAAAGGCAAAAATCATCCAAGTCATTTTTAACCATTTTCAGCAAAATGTCCACAAAGGGTTTTCAATCTTTTATGAAAGTATTTACTATTGTACCCTGATCAAACAAGTTTATTTTATATTCTTTCCTCATAGGCAATCTTCTAATAGATGTTTTCTTGGGCAGAATTAACTTGGTGTTGAAGTATTGTTGAACAACTTGATCTTTTGTTGTCTTCCTGACAGAATGAATCTCATGAAACATTTTTTATCTTTACATATTTTGTGCTGGTTTTGTGCACCTAGTCCTCTTTCCATTCCATAGATTCTGTTAGGGCTTCGACAGCCCTCTCCTTAATGCCTTTCCCAGGTTGTTCCAAAATTACTCTCAGTCTCAGATGAATTTCTTCCTCTCTTTTGGTTCCAGTAATACCACATCCAGGTCTTCATTCATTTCTCTGGTTGTTATTTCCATCTTATTTTCTGGGATCTCCATTTTCCCCTTGATTTGTTTAACTTCTCCAATTATTTATATTGCAGATTCTTCCCATTTTTATTCATTTTTTTTCTTCCATATTTGCAAATTCTTCAGTCAGGTCTTTCTTAACAAATTCAGTCACTGAAGTTCTCACTGACTTTTATAATATTCTTCCCCCATTCCTCAAATATCCTTTGTAACATCCCTGGTATAACCCCTTTTTTTGGTATTTGCTATATTAGTAATTCTCTCCTCCCTTCTTTTGCTGCTTTCCTGATAATAGCCATTTCTTTCTTTTTTTGTTTGCCCAAAAAGGGAAAGCAACAGCTAAAAGGGAGCCTTTTTTCTTCCTTTCTCTATATTCTTAACTCTTTAGTCTCATTCAACATGTTCTACAATCTATGCACTTTAACAACAATACCTTGTCTTTTTGTTTAGAAAAATCCACCGATTATTTCTCTTAGAAAACCCAAACAGTGTTCTTTCCCATGGAGGTTTGTGCTATTTATTTGTTTAATTTGTTGAATTAATTCAAAAATGCTTTAAAATAAGCAGAGTCCAAATTCAGCTAAACCCTTTATCTGTTTTAAATTTTCATAGTCCAAACTCTTAGCAAACGTTTTGCTGTAGATTATTTTTGAACCCTTCTTCCGACTCCTTTCCGTTTCCCCTTATTCACGCCCTGGGTCACAGGAACACTCACTCTGCTGCTCCAAAGATCTCTGTCATTTTTAAATAGTTATAATCCAAATGTGTTTTAGAAAGTGGAGTTTGGGCAGACCCAGTGTTCTTTACAGGCGCCACTTGAGGCTGTGAACTTGATCTTTCTTCCTTGGCTCCTGGTGCTCTACTCACTGGCCAGGCTCACCACCTGTCATGATTCTTCACCTCAGCATCGTCCCTGTTCTTCAGAGATGTGACACTCTGCCATTTTCCTCCACCTGGAAGCCCCCCTATTTCTCACTTTCTGTTACCACACAGTCTTGGCAAAAATTCATATCTGATTATTTCCTCACATGGTATTTCACTAAGATATGCAAACTTTTGTATGTTCCAGAATTTCTGCAAAATTGTAAGGGGTTTGTTAAAAATTTCGAGGTGGGTTTTCTGGCATTAGAAAGCATAATCTCAGTCTGGGTAAATTTGTTCTGTTTCTCTTTATGCAGTTTTAGAGTATATTTTCTCCCTCCTAGTTTTTGAAGATGTTCAGAAGGTATTCATTTCTTGATTTTGGTGAATGCCCTGCTACTTTAATGATAAAAATAACACAGTTGTAGGTAATGAAGAGAACATTGGTCCAAAGATGTTAATAGCTCAGTGTTGTTTTCTGAGTCATCTAGTCTACTGTGGAACAAAATTGAAACTGGAGCTGCAGGTTGAACTGTAGCAAATATGCACAGACTGCGAAGTTTGATGGAATAGTGATACTTTGAAATATAGGAAATCAGTTAAGTGGATCTGATCAACTGGATCCATTGGGTAGCCACTCAAAAGTTTGTCAGTGTTCTCAAAGAGCCCATGAAGGAAATATTTATTCTCTGCTGTTTCTTCTCTCTCTTTATTCTGGATTCTGGGACTGTCCCCAGTACTGTTTGTATGCCAGACACATTTAGAGTGTTAAAACATATTGGGGTCTGATATTGAATCAGACTTGGCTTCAAGCTTGTTTGCATCGTTTTATGTGCAACTGATTCTTTTCCTGAGATGTAAGAGTTGACCACAGCGGCATAGGTTTTGGTTACTTTTAATTGGGCAATGCTTTCTAGGTGGGGTGGATTATCTTGGGCCTGTTAGTGAACTAGAACAGACTGTATAGCAAACATGAACCCTAAAACCCTGCATGGTTGAGAAAACCCATCGTCTTCTCAACCATGCAGTTATCCGAGTTTTGCTAGAAAGCTTTTCTTATGTCCTACCAATGTCAAAAGTTTGTTTTCAGTAGATATATGTCTTTCCAGTAGATATATGGAGATTTTGGAAATATCAGCAAATTTTAATTAAAAAAAAAATGACAGGTTTCAAACCAAACTTAGTTCTTGTCCTGCCTCTGCCCACTTCTTTGTCCTGCTCCATCCACTTTACAGAGTGTGATTCTACTGTTGCACTAAAAAACCTAGTGTAGATCTTGCCCTTAAAAAGAAAAAATAGGCTCCACAGCCCTGGTTCATGATGTCCCTTATATTTCCATTCTGTTTACTTACTGAAGTGTAACTATGTGTTTATTCAGTGCACGATTAACTAACTTGCTAATCGGCATGTCATAAAGTATTTTGTCAGGATATATTGATTGATTATGTGCCATCAAGTTCTTTTCTGTTAGCAACCACATATTCTCCATGATGACCCCTAATCTGTTGTTTCAGGCCTCCCAATGGTGCACCAAGTGCCACTGTAACTGTGTCCATCCACCTTGCTGCTGGTCATCCTCTTTTCTTTCCTTCCACCGTTCCAGCATTAGAACCTTTAGGTCTTCACATAATGTGTTCAAACTAGGATAATTTGAGCCTGGTCATTTGTGCTTCTTGTGAGAATTCTGGGTTGATTTGTTCGATGGTCCAGCAGTTTGTTTTCTTGGCTGTCCACGATATTCTCAGGAGTATTCTCCGCGCCAAAGTCCAAGGGATCAATAGTTTTCTTATCCTTGTTCTTCAAAGTCCAACTTTCGCTTCCATCGAGTGTCACAGGGACAAAGTCTTTCTGGAGGCGCAGTGCACACTCTGCAGCTTGCACTGGAAGCTGCTGGCCCTTTGTGAGGCCTTACAGGAGAAAGGCTGGGCTGAGTAAGCAGAGGGCCTGCTGGTAGGCTCTGTCAGTGCTGGGCTCGCCTCCACTGCTCGCTGAAGCCCGCAGGCCAGTTCTCCAGGAGTGCTTCCAACATTAGCTGCAGAGTGTGGGCTGTGCCTCCAGGAAGCCCTCGTCCTCCCACTTCCTCCAGTGCCACCGCCATCACGAACTGTGCTCCCTGCACAGTGGCCACCTTTGCCTGGGCAGCCGCCCCCACCTCTCTGGCATGTCCCTGTGTGCTCTCTATGGTCTGCGAGCTATTGCTCCTCCCACCAGCGGCAGAAGACAGGGCTCTTCCGCCTGCACTGCCACCCTGCCTCCTCCATCAGCTCTGTCCTGCTGCCTCCACCTTGGCTGGGCCCACCGAGGTCCCTTTGGCAGTTGAGGCCCTGCCGCACTCACTGCGCACATCTCAAAGCTGTGTCCTCCCCCAGCACCTGGATTGTGGGCCAGCAGCGGGAGGAGGAAGACGGCAAAGGTCAGCTGGAGGCAGTGGTAGTGGGGGCAGCAGGGCTAGGCAGCAGAGTGCAGGGCGGCCAAAAGGGCAGAGATGGGGATGAGATAGGTGGGGGGGGGGAGTTGAAGCAGAGGCAATTTGTGCAGGGCAGGAGAACGTGCCTGTGGGATGCTACGACCAGTCATAAATCTAGGCCAGTCGCCAAGTGCCCAAATTTTGATCACGTGACTGCAGGGGCGCTGCAATGGCTGGGGCTTCAAGGACTGGTCATAACTATCATATGTTCAGCACTGTGGTAACTTCTAATGGTCATTGAATGAACAGTCATAACCCAAGGAATACTTGTATTTAATTTTAGTCCCATTTTATACTGTCCCAGGCCTGACACACAAACACACACAAGGAGAACAATCCAAGCCTTTACTTGGTAAAATAATGCAGCAGCGGCAGGCAGGGTGTGTATGATTTCAAATATATATGATTTCAGGTGGTCCCACATCCCTTGGAAAACTTACAGACACAATCCCAATAAGCAAAGTTCCAAGGAAGAGGCAGAAGTGTAGTCAGGGCACAGTCCAGTGGTGGTAGAGCCATCATAGGTTAGCAGCTGGTCCGGGTTCAAGCCACAGGGTTTTCAGAAGCAAGAGTTCTGGGTGCAGTGGACAGAGATTCCAGCAAATGGAGCAGTTCTGAACAAAGGATTGCCTGCTAGTGGTGGCTCTGAAATAGAGCCCCACCAGGCACAAGCACACCAGGGGTGTGATGCGGGTCAGGTGCGCAAGAGCCTCAGAACTGCTTGGATTTTCAGCCCCAGAGTCAAGAGGCTTCTGAAGCCTCTCCATTCCAGGGCTGAACATCCTGCTTGGATTTCGGCATGGAGCTTCTTCAGCCAGCCCCCAGAGATGAGAGAGAGTCCCCTCGGCAGGTGGCAGCAGCTTACAATTCCCAAGTGCCCCGTGATAATTTGATTGCGATTTTCAGTCTTCCCTTCTGACTTCCCCAGAAAGTCAGTGGGGAAGCCGGCAGGGAAAGTCGCAAGCCACTGACGCCTGCCGAGAGGATTTCCTCTCGACTCTGGGGGCTGGCTGAAAAAGCTTCATGCTTGGATTTTGGCACGGAGCTTTTTCAGCCAGCCCCCAGGGATGAGAGGGAGCGCTGGAAAGAAGGGGAAAAAAGGCTGCTTTTGGCTCCCGTTTCCTTTTTCTCAGTGTGAAGCCAGCCCCATAGGGCCCAACAGTTAGGCTGGGCATGCCTTGTCAGCAGTGGGAGCAAGAAGATGGCGGTGAAGGTCAGCTGGGGTGACAGCGCAGGGTGGCAGGGGGCTGAAAGGGCAGAGATGGGAGATAGGGTGGGGGAGTTGAAGTGCCCCTGCAGTTGTAAGTGAGGGCAGGCTGCCAAGCACTCATATTTTGATCATGTGACTGCAGGGGCGCTGCAGTGGTCATAATTTCAGGCATGGGTCATAAGTCCATTTTTTCAGCACCATTATAATTTTGAATGGTCACTGAACAAACGGTTGTTAAGCAAGGACTACCTATAGTCAAAATGTAATCTAAAAACTTTAAATTCTTAACAGTTGATGAGAGTGTTAATTCATTCACACTTTAGCACCTAAAGTATTTGAAAAATCGACAAGTGACTCTTGGAGTTCACATGTGGCAGAAAATGTTCTGGTGAAGATTTTAAACATTTTGCTTTCTTCATCAACAGACTTTTTAAAATATATATATATTTCATTGGTCTCTAGACATCAGCTCCTTTCTTCGAGCAGACTTTCTCAAGTTCCTTTCTTTGTCCAAATAGAAAATGTCAATTTTGTGAATGATTCATGCACAACTTTTATATCAAGCTCTGGTTTTCAGTCCTTTTTGAATATTTGTGCTGCACATGGACATCCTCTCTTTCATGACTTGAGCAACATGGTGTTCAAATCTGTTAATATGTTAATGTTTTACTCAAAGGAACATTGTAATGTTAAGTTACTGAATTATTATTGGGTAGTTGTTACATGGACAGAAGGAGGGTCTTTGTGCAGATAAATCAAACAACAGACATGTTATTTATAATGTGTAAAACACACACCCCTGGGCATAGTCCAACCACAGTTAAGTTATCAATTAAGTGAAACCAAAAGTAAAAATTATAAGAAAACTATAATTATAGAGTCACAGTCAATATAAAAACATCACTTATACATATATACAATTGTACACTTATAACCTGATACTCTGTCATCTGACTGTACAAGTAAGATTTAGAATAGGATAGCCATACTCTCTGATTTTACTAACTGCTCTTTTCAATGTCTGCTCAGCTGCCGATCTTAAATGACAGGCTATTAATTGAGCTTAAGATTGAGTCCACCCTGAACTTTTCTTAAGGAGAAACCTGTTGGCCAGAAAATCAGCCATCTGCTCCTGAAGTGTATCTTTGGCTCAGAAGAATAGCTGAAACTGGATTGACAAAATCCAGATCCTCAGTTGGACTCTTGCTGTGTGCTGCTGCCCTCTACTGGAAGGACCGTCATTCTGGTTCAGCTCAAACAGGGAGGCCAAATTGAATGTTGTCAGTATCAGACTGTTGCTGAAATCCTCTAGTGGCAGAGAACTTGGCCTTCTTTATGGCCATTCCATCAATGTAACTATTGTAAAATTGGAAAGAGATCTGTGGAGTCCTTAGGGTTCTCTGAGCTTGGTTGTTTTCTTACAAACATTTCGTTCCCCGGCTAGGTAACATCTTCAGTGCTAGAATGGGATGGGGTTTGCTCTCTGTTTATATACAGTGGCATGCCCTGCCAGTGTGGGTGTGGGTGTGGGTTTTGTTTTGTTTGTTTTCCCCTCTGGTAGTTCCTTGATTAGGGTATTGTTTACTGCTGATTGTATGTCTGGTCCAGGTGATGATTGCTGGTGAGGAGATGTTCTGGTCTTTTGTTTTCCTTTTTATCGTCTCTTTTGAATAGTGTGTAGATGTTGTTTATCTCTATGTGCCTGTGGTTGGCTGACTTGTCTGAATACCAAACTTCCAGGAATTCCCTCACATTTTTGGATTTAGCTTGGTCTAACATGCTGACAGTTTCCCAGTTGAAACTATGGTTAAGTCTGGAAAGTATGGAAAGAGATCTTTTTAACTCCCGTACCGTACCGTACCATACCATACATGGAAAGAGATCTTTTTAACTCCCATAGTGACGCTTAAGTGTATCCTTGGGCAATTAAGGTCAAATGGGCTTTTTCCCCCTTTGGGCTTTGCCCTGGATTTCCCACTGTTAACAGCAATGTTTATATGGTGGGAACACAAGTACATAAAGAGAGTGGTAGAGGCATAAAAGCTACCAAGTGTTTCAGAGTCAGAGGGAAGAAATGAAACATTCTTCTGCTGGGAATGCCATCTTGAAGTTTTGGACCTCCAAATAAGATCCAACTGCTCAGGGGCCACCCTTATCCCACCTTCAGACATTCTCATCTTGGATATGATACATTCATATCCAGGTAGTGACTTACTCTGTTTCTCCTCTGATTTTTTTATTTTTTGCAAATATGAAAGCCACCTTCATATTAAAGAGTAATGTACAGGACTCCTTGTGAATTGCAAGCCTGGAGATTTATGGTGATTGATGACTAAATTTATTATTATTTAAACTTAATTTTGTATGTGCTTCACTTCTTACCATGTGCGCGAGTTTGATGAGTTATGTGCCTGTGCACACCTTAAAGGAAGCATAGCTGGCAACCCACCCTGCTGTTATCTGATCAATAGACAAGTTGTGTCCTAATTTTAATTAAAAGTCTTTAGACTACCGAGTGCTGCAGGATTCTGCTCTATCCCCGCTGCTCCGATATCTATATGAAGCTATTGGAACCTGGGGTGTAGAGCTCAGTGCCCCTCTAGGTGGACGACACCCAGATCTGTGTCATGGATTTCATCACAGATTCATTGATTTCTGTAGTCAGAGAATAATGGACATTTCCAAAATATTGCAAAACAAGAAAAGACGGACATTTTTGGGGTACCAAGCGATTAGCATCCTCCTCCATTACATCAAGACTCTATTAGCAAGAAGATCAAAGGCAATAGAGAGGATTTAATGTATCACATAAAAGAGGACCAAGGGACACATTTCCAGTTTCTAAGATTCTGTTTGTTTATTGTAAGGATTTATTTCCTTACAATAAACCGACACAGGCTCTGTGAGAATCTTTTTTTTTTTTCATGACACTGAGCTGCTGTAAAAAAATTGTTACCTGGCTTCTGTTGTCCATGCACTGGTTACCTTCTGAAGAGATTGTAATGCACTTTACATGGGGATGCTTTTGAAGGAAACTTGAAAGCTGCAACAGTCCCAGGTTGTTACTTCTGTGTGGTATTCCTCACTGGAGTGTGCAACCAATCCTGGCTAAGTTGAACTGGCTTCTGAATTTCCAAGCCAAATTCAAGTAAAAGTTTTATCATTCAGTCCCTTTATGGTTTTGGTCCCACCACTCTATAGGAACAGCTTCCCAAGGGTGTTATCAACTGGGACCCCTGTTTATCATTTATGGGTCTTCTGCAAGTGCCATCAAGAGGCCTGGCACTAACTGTTCCCACAAAGGAACCTCTATTTCCCAGTCCTACCCTACAAATCAAAGGGTAAATTTATATTTAATCTGTGTGCAGCCTGCACAGAAAAACAGCAGACCACTTTAGTATTCCTGACTACAGCCTGCTTATCAAGATAAGAATGGAACCTCAATAATACTGTGCTTCTGACCTCCAATTCCTTTAGGCGAACCAGGAATATACTGTGATCAGTGGTATCAAAAATCACTGAGAGGTCCAGAAACACACACACTTCCCCTGGCATGCTCCTGTAGAAGATCATCTATCAGGGCAACCAAAGTCATCTCCATGTAGCTAGACTGAAACTAGACTGAAATGGATCTAGATAGTATCCAGAAGTGTCTGGAGTTGCTCAGCTACAACATGCTCAAGCACCTTGGGTAGAATGGTAGATTAGGCACTGGCCTATAATTCTTTAAAATGAA